TGAAGAAGTTTAAAGCATTGAAGAAATAGTGAATAAAGACAGACAAAAAACAAACAAACAAAAACCCCTGGCCAGTGTTGCTCAGTAGGTTGGAGCACTGTCTCCAACGGTTGCCTTTTGGTGCATATGGAAGGCAACCAAGCCATGCTATTCTCTCGTGTTGATGGTACTCTCCCCCTCTGTCTCTTTTTCTCGCCCCCCCTTTCCCTCTCTTGCTTCCCCTCTTTCTCTAAAATCAATAAAAACATACACTCTGGTGATGATTAAAAAATTTAAAGAAAGAAAAATGAGGAATTGTAGATTGTAATTGAGGTTTTTATATAATTTGATATGCCCTGATTCTTGAAAAATGAAAATGACAATATCAATGATGAGAAATGATTCTGACAATAACAGCTAGCAGTTCTAGGAGTTAATTAATTTTCCCAAATTTATTGAGCACTAAATAAGAAGAATTATGATGAAATACAAGTTCCCATTTGTAGCATAATCTTGTGACTTAAGCACAGTTTGAAAGAAAAATTTCAGAACAATGACATTCTAATTATTTAATACCCAATTAGTCTTAATGTTTTATTGGGATAATGATATAGATGTGGCAGCATGGAGTTTATTATTTTTACAACACAGGACCCCATAGCAATCATTCTGGGTTTTTAAATCAACATTGTTTGTGACTGAAATTTAAAGTCAGGATGCTACTAAACAAAAATAATTAAAACCAAAACTATCTTTTCTCATTAATATTATTCCATGTTCAATTTTCAGTTAATTCTCCTTTTATTTTTATTTTCCTGCTATTGGCTGATAACAAGACATACAAAAGTAAAAAATCTTATTACTTTTTAGCTATTGCTTTATCAAAATTAAATAATACTTTATAATGCAATGTAAGAATAAGCAACATATAATTTAATACCTTATTCAAGTTGGCTAAGAAATATTGAAGAGCAATTAATTTGGTGAAATTAACATTTATATTTTAAAACTACTTACAATAGTTTGTCTTTTCTATTACAGATCAATGTAATGTTATTGGGAAATAAAATATAATTATCTCCATGATATTATTGGAAAGGTAATTATATTTTTAGCAAATCCAATTACTACAGAATTAATGACCAGTTTTATGAACAAAGTCTATATCAAAACTACATAATATTACACATGCACTGCCCTAAAAATGATTTTTTATTCTGTTTATCACATTATAGCAGTTTCCTAAGAAAATGTGATATGCCCTGACTGGTTTGGCTCAGTGGATAGAGCGTCGGCCTGTGGACTCAAGGGTCCCGGGTTTGATTCCGGTCAAGGGCATGTACCTGGGTTGCGGGCACATCCCCAGTGGGGAGTGTGCAGGAGGCAGCTGATCAATGTTTCTCTCTCATCGATGTTTCTAGCTCTCTATCCTTCTCCCTTCCTCTCTGTAAAAAATCAATAAAATATATTTAAAAAAAAAAAGAAAAAAAAAGAAAATGTGATATGTTTCACAAAAATGCATACTTCACATTTTGTCCATGTTATTTGATGAGAATGTCCTGAAAAATAGAAACTATTATGCTATCAACATATGTTATATGAACATATAACATCTAAAATCACACACCCTTATGTCACATATAAAAAAGAACCACCTTGCTAATATAGACATTTATAATTGAAAAGAAGAAATTTTGACCTGGTTAATGACTCTGCCACATGTTTAAAAGTTCTTGTTTTTCTTGAAGGAATCTGACATCTTAGGATCTGTATGTTCTTTAATCACTTCTTAAAAACAACCTTAGTCCTCTCAGCTTTATTCTAAGAAAAATAAATTCTGTAAAGAAATCTTGAATTCACTCATCCCCTCCTATGAAAAACTGGAATCTTACACGTCATGGGGGAAGGGGTAGTATTCTATTATTAACATAAATTTAACACAAAATGTATACTTTTATAAGCACACAAAATATTTTTCAATTGATTTTTTTAATCCCACATCTAAAAATGTCGATTTATTTAATTTTGAATATGTCTGAGCTGTCATATGTATAAAATGTTTTCTTTGCATGTATTAAATTAGAAATGATCTGGTTTCATAGTCTCAGAAAGAGTCTGGATTAGAATGAACACAGCAGGTCTGTTCAGGCCTTCCACCATTACACATATCCCTTGCAAATGTAATCAGCAGGAAGGGAGGCTTGTATGAAAAAATTAGAAGGGCAGGATACAAGACGAATGGATATTTGCTTTGCTGTCCAATCATATATTGAATTTTGGGAAAATATGACACAGGTAGCTACTGATAGGAGACATTTTATTTTCCCTTGAATAATGGGAATAAAATGTAGAAAAAGAATTCAGTCTGTCACACTTTTCTAATGGAAATTGATAGATTTAGGGTAGAAATCAGAATTGTCTTATTTAGAAAATTAAGAATAAATAAATTTATTTTTTATAAATGAGTCCATTTTGGAAGTATATTTTAAAATATTGCAAAATAGTATCATGTTTATACTAAAAATATCGGCTATGTTAAAAAAACACTGAAAGAAATTTAAAAAGTAGCAGGAAAAGAAGGTTAAATAGCTGCTTTATGTCAATACAACTAAAATTAAAGTCTTTAAAAATGAATACTGATGGAATACATTGCTTAAATTCATCCTATTCTATCTTCAAATTCTACCTAGAGATAAATGTATCCTGATATAATTTAAAATGTTTCTACACATCAGGTACACTTCCTGTGATGTGTTTTGTAGTATATCTTTGCAACAGTATTGTAATCCAGTACATATTCCTCAACTACTATCACAGAGATACATTGGATAGAAAATAACCATAAAATTTCTCAAGGAATAGCAATGTATTTATAACTTAAGTGATCATATAATTATTACAATCACCATCATCAAAATACCAGATTCAAAATATAATTGTCTACCATTTGAGGTGCTGAAATTGCTTAATTCTTATAATATTCTTCTAAATAGGTGCCCTTATCTCTGTTTTAGAGATGAAATAACTGAGTCCCCAAGACATAAATGATTTTTGGGAGTCCCAATGGTTTGACTTCAAATGTGAACACTTCATCCCCTCCAAGCTCCCCCTTTTCTACATATTCATTTGTGTCTTTAGGTCCATTGAAAATACAAAGCAACGAAAAGACAGAGGTCACTGACAGTAGACCCCAATGACCAGCATATTAAACAGTTTTTAGTTTAAGCCTCAATGGATTGAGTATATTTCCATCCACAGATACAAGCTGCGATATCATTAACTTATTGATTTGCTTCATTTAAAACGAAGCATAACCTTTCTCCCTCTACCCACCCGTTCTGTCTTTTCATTCTTCTCTTTTCTTCTCAAGTGACAAATACTGATACCATATTAAAATCAGTTGGAGACAATGGTTGAAAATACAATCATGATACTATCTTTCTTTATATTTCCAGCAGGAAAGCATGCAGACAAATGCAAATGGCACTTGATTACTCCATATAATCAAACAGCTATTCAGCTCTACTAACAATAGTTACTAGTATGTAGCTACTGTATTACAGTGCACACTTGTATATGTCTTTTTGTGTTTAATATAGATTTAGGCATTTCCACTAAGGACCTTTTATTTTTTAAATCAAGACAAGGATATAAAAAAAGTTTTATCTATCTAAATTGTTCTCAGCATTAAGAAAATTATGATATGAAAAATCTGCCAGCTTATGCCTGTTTCTGCAGTTCCAACATTGTAACAATAATGAGTTGGCAAGTCATTTACACTAGTGCCTGGTGCTTCTGGACTAGTTCTGTACCCATAGACATATTTCTTTTCTCTAATTTTGAATACATTTACATATGACCCCACTTCCTAATTGATATATTTCTGTGGATCACAAAATACTAACCAGTTATAGTAATTAATAGATACCTACTGACCAACTCTTACACTTTAAAGATATGTAAAATAAAATTTAATTATTATAAATAAAATGCAATTATATATTTTGGAAATATATGTTAAGATATAAGTTCCACTTTTGGTTTCATAAAATGAATAGCGTACCAAGAAGTATTTCAATACCTATAAAGGAACTAGAAGGAATAAAACTCATGTCTATAAATCTCACGTTTTAAATGATATAATTTGGTGTAGTTTAATTAGAAACATACATGTGCATTAAAATGATGCTCTACTTATCATCATCAAGAATAACTCAGTCCTCAAAATTGTAAGTTATCATTTGTAATATACTTTCATACATACACACATAACACAGAGAAAAAAATCAATAAGTGGTAGGCAATTTTCCCACAGAAAATTGTTATATTCTAAAAAAAATTTTAACAATTATACATAAATTCAATCTTTGTATTATCTTACATAACTATGACTAACTTTTAATTTGCCTTTCTTCTTACACAAATTGACTCAAATAATAATGCCATGTATTATGAACCTCTAAATTAAAAATTTGACAATATGATAAAATAGGTATTTATTACTTCTAAAGCCTATTAGCCTTAAAGTTTAGATGATTCAATATCAAATTTATAAGTAATTCATAAATGTTAGATTTATTATATTCAACTATTATGTCACTTTTAATTTATATAAGCTGATAATAATATGATTGGTAAATTATTTGCCTAAAATAAAGGATACATAGACCACATAATGTTATATCTTACATGTTTGTTCAAGCCTATTTACTATAATTGAACACATACTAGGGAGATATTTGGTAAGAAAATTGTGCAGCTTATAATTCAAGAGTAGTAACAGCAAAAAAATATATAATTCAGCCCCATAATAACACATTGACAAGAGGAATAACTACCGAACAGAGGAAACCATAGCTGGCCTCATGACAAACAAATCATGTGCAAGATTATTGGGCTGTATTGGGATGTCTAGTTATATAGTAGAGAAATAATATACTTTTGCTTTTCCCAATTTCAACAACCACGAGAGTTTTAAATGGAGTAAGATGGTAGAAGCAATTTTACCCCCAGAGACTCACCTACTGTCAGCTGTCCAGTTAACTGCCCCATGTGATTTCTTGCATTCACTGTTACATTCCTGTCAGACTGTAAGACCAGTGGACTATCCTGGGAAACATGTATAAAATAAAGAAATCAAATAAAAAATAGATATATAGTCATAACTTAATATATAAAATTATATATACTCTGTTTGGGCATTATCAAAATTCTATGTTGTTGTTTTATATTGGGCAGTTATTTTAACATCCCAAACATTGGTTGAACAATATAAAAATAAGGGTGCTTCTTAACTACTGTACAGAATAGGAATGTTTCTACATTGGTAAATGGGCATTAACTATTGAGTGCAAGCATTTCCAACTTTTCTGGTTATTGTATGCATCATAGGCATTCTAGTCTCTCTCCTTCTCCTCTCCCAGGGGCCTGCTTTTGGAGATATTCTAGACCTTATCCAACTGAGAAAGTCTCTTTTTAAGCGGAACTTGCAATTTACAGATCTCAGCTTAAATGTTTCCTCTAAATTGCTTCCCCTGAAAACTGTAACTATAGATTCATTCAATTCCCAAATTCCCAGTCTTCACTTATTTTGTTCAAAGTACTTATCATAAGATGAATTTCATTTGCTCATTTATGTGTTTACTTGTTTTTTTATTTGTTTCTGTCACAAGAGAAACCATCCATGGCACAGGGGCCATGGCGATCATGTGTACACAACCATAGCCCCACTACTTAACATACTGCTGAAGGAAAGCATTTACTAAGTGCTTACTGAGTGGATAAATACATCTTCATAAAAATATTTAACCATTTACCCCCCGTAGAAATTATTTGTAAATCACAGAATGATTTAAGTAAGGAGGTATATAGACCATAAGGTGTTTGCCTGTAAATTCTTTTAGTATACATAACCTTGGTTGATGTTTCCTTCTATCACTGGCCCAGTACTTAATAGTAAAATAATTTATGGAAGGACATAATCATTGCCTAAGAAACTAGTATATGAGGCTTTTGCCACCACCTGTCTCAGACAATTAACTTACAACTGACCACATTATCATTTTTATGATCTAAAACGTAAGCAGGGTGATTATTTACAAACTGTCCCTTCATTCATTCAACAAATATTTGCTGTCTCACTCTGTGTGACAATGAAAATATCTCCCAACAGTATCTTCGCAATCAAGATGGTGTGTCACTTCCATATCAATGTAAATATACACATACTTTCATAGCCATATAAAAACTCTTTCTAGATTAGGATTTGGAATCTGTGATTTGGATAGACATAGAAAGACTATAGGCATTTTCTAAAGCTATTTTGTGCCCCTTTGGCGAGATACAAAGCACTGAGCAAACACAAACTTTCTCTTAAAAGTGTGCTTTGCTAATATATCTAAACTAAGACTTGATTTTTTAAAATAATTTCCACATTTTGAAGATGATATGTATTTTGTAAAGTGAGGCATAGTTGTACAAAAACCATTATAATAAAATTTCATTCCCTTCTTATCTCTCATCACAACTTATTTCTTTTTGCAAATCGTGTTATTTTTGCAATTAAAAAATCTGGTCTTGCTCTAGCCGGTTTGGCCTGTGGACCAAAGGGCCCAGGGTTTCATTCCAGTCAAGGGCATGTGCCTTGGTTGCAGGATCCTCCCCGCCCCCGGCCCTCGTCAGGTGTGTGCAGGAGGTAACCAATCAATGTGTTCCTCTCACATCGATATTTCTCTCTGTCTTTCCCTCTTTTTCACTCTCTCTAAAAATCAATGGAAAATATCCTCGGGTGAGGATTTAAAAAAAATCTGATCTTTTTCCCTAGATACTTCTATGCTTCAGGTATTTATCTTTGAAGATATCAGAAGTATTTTAAATTAATTACATCATTTGTTTCAAGAAATATGTTCAAATTCTTTTTACAATATAGATTGAGCCTGGACTTTTTTGCAAAGAATTATACCCAGTAAGGATAATGCACAAAGCAAAAGCTCATAAAAGCACAAAAAGTATTTCATTTTATGTTGGCAAAATAAATACATGTTACCTATCTATCTTAAAAATGAGCCTTTATTTAAATAACATTAATTTGAATGTTAGAACAGCAGAAGCCTATAAAGAAACTTGCTGTTCAAAACATACAAAATTTTGGTAGAATTTTCACTCACATTTTTCAATATTTTATGATATAACATGCATGGCTGTAGTTTAGATATTTTAAAATCAATGACACTATATGCTTTTACACAATATCCCCTCAGTACCAATTTAAAAATATGTATGCGATAAAAATATCTAAGGTAAAAATGATATCAACTCTTTCAATCATTTAAAGAGGATACAATACTAAACTATCTATAAATCTGATAACAAAGCCATTTTAAGTGAAAATCAGTACCAAGAAACGACTTCTTTCCAGAAAAAAAAATTGACATTTAAGAAGGTTTTATATCGTCTTTGCATTCATTTTTCCAAAGTTCTCTACATAAGAAAATCACTTCCACCAACAGAGCATAGCTTTCCACTCTCTTCTTTCTACTCTCTCTTCATGCTCCTTTATATTGCCTGTCTGTGTTCCAAAACTTGGAAAGCCAGTCTAGTTTCAGATAGTAAAATAGAGATAACTGGACTCCCTTCTAGCTTATTTTTGCTGGGAACATAATAGGTGGGGAGACAATCATTTGGTGGTATTATCTCATGGAGTAGGAATAAACATAGTAAGGATGAACAGGTGGCATCTTAGTCTGCACAATGCACTTGTATAAATATCTTTATTTTCTTTGGAGGAAGAAAAACTTCATGCAGAAACTTTAGTATCTTTCCACTAAAACTATGATATCCTCTATTCACAGGTATATCAGTTCTCAGGAGCTGATCTGCATCTTGGCTATAACTACAGGAAATATACTTATGCTCTTTATGCTTCTTATGCTACTCTTGAGACAAAGCCAGTAGAAGATTCAGGGAGAAAAGCAATGGCACCACTAAATGGGCCTGAGAACCCTGCTTACATTTCCTTCATGCACACATTATTTAGCTGAAGATCTGGCTGTAACCTTGCTAATGGTTATCCTATATAATAAAAGCCTAATCCTATATAATAAAAGACTAATATGCTAAGTGTCCTGTTGTCTGGTCATTTGTTCAACCAATCAAAGCATAATATGCTAATGACTAGATGACTGGACAACCAGACACTTAGCATATGATGTGCACTGACCACCAGGGGGCAGATGCTCCGACTAGAAGGTTAACTTCCTCAGGGGTCCATCTGATTGGGACTGAGTGAGTCAGGCCAGACATGCCCTGGAGCCCTACAGCAGTCCCTCCCCGGCTGGCATACCTCCTGTGTCCCTTCCCGGCCCTGATTGTGCACCAGTGGGGTCCCTCATCCTTGCCTGCACACTCCTGCAATCTGAGACCCCTCGGGGGATGTCAGAGAGTCAGTTTTGGCCTGATCACACAGGCCTGGCCGAGGGACCCCACTAGTACAAGAATTCATGCACCAGGCCCCTAGTAGAAAAATAATGCAAAATGTTCTTCTCATTGCAGTGCCTTTCTGATAGGCTATGCAACTGAGTAAGGAGGAAAAAAGATTCTTTTCTTTGTATTTCTATTGAGCTCACCTTTGTTTATAATAAATATTTACTGAGTACCTATGATGTGCCCAGCTCTTTGCTTGTCAGTATGTGTAAAACAGTAACAGAAAGAGACACACTTTATTCTCTTATAGACTTCATAATCTACTAAGCCACACAGACAATAAAGCAGGTAAATAAAAAATAGAACAAAACAGAGAATGTTACACTCACAAGCTGCCATGATAGGCATTTCTCTAAAAAAGTATGTTGTACTAAAAAAATAAAGAAGTATGTTGTACTGATGAGAAGATGGTGTGTATATATGTGTATAAGGTGTTGCATGTATATAAGGCACTTCAGATTCCTATATTCATTCTTTCAAGACTATCAAATTGTAGTAGAAATAACAGTAGAAACAGCAGCTAGGACTTGCTGTATTAATCAGTGCTAGATGCTGCTCTAAATACTTTACATCTATGAGCACAAAGTAAGATTTCCCATGAAAAAAAATAAGAAAATTAAGAAAGTGGTTGTAAGACAGGCAGTGGACCCTGACTGATTTCAAACAGTGAGTCTAGCAAACGCTGACTGCTTGACTCAGCAATTCACAGAACTTCTCTGTACCATCCTTTCTTTATCTGTAAACAGGGTAATGATACATGATTTGTGGGGTTTCTAAGGAATTAGATATAATATATACAAAATGCGCGGACAAGGGCCTCACCTTTGCTAGGGGCACTGTTAGTGTTTGCTTTAATTATTTATTCCGCACTGCATTCCAGTCCTCTACTAATGACAGTGCTAGTGACCATTCATTGTGTTTCACAGTGAAGACACTGCAGCAAAGAGTACAAGTCAGTTGCTCTAAATCACACAGCTAATAAATAACAGAGGATGTAGTTGTCAAACCCAGCAGTCCAGATCTAGAATCTTTCCTGTCAAGCACAGTAAGATACACTCTCTCTGGTCTGTGATTAATTTCAAGCCTTTCTAAAATGGCAAACCAAACTCTGAAAATAAATTCAAAATAATGGGACACATATAATTTAAACTTGCTTTAAACATTCCCACCTCTGAAAGATCTGATACATATACTGTCTTAGAGGTAAGATCTGGCCTGCACATTAGCATTATCCAAGTTTCAGTAGGTCTGGTTCATTGTGTTTGCCCAGGTTGGAGAGGAAGCGGGATACTCCTGACAATGCCCTCGGCACACACACTTTAGAATACATCACCTATGAGAGCCTCCCTAAATAATGGGACAAGTTATCCTAAAAGATAACTTGAATTAATGATACATATTGTTCCATGTAGATGGCATAAATTTTGATATGTCATTTCTGGAATTTATCAGATTTTACCTCAGTTTTACCAGATACATTTTCTTTTTCTTTTTTAAAATATATTTTTATTGATTTCAGAGAGGAAGGAAGAGGGAGAGAGAGATAGAAACATCCATGATGAGAGAGAATCATGGATCGGCTGCCTCCTGCAAGTCCCCTACTGGGGATCGAGCCTACAACCCAGGCA